TTCTCATACATTGTCACTGGGAATGCAAAATGACCAAGTCATTTTGGAAAACATTTTGGCAGTATCTTATACACATATATGTAACCCAGCAATCCCATTCCTAGATATTTACCCAAAGGAATTGAAAATGTATATATACACAAAGGCTTGTAACGATCACTTTCCAATGTAAGAAGGATATCCAACTAATACTTGTTTAAAAAGCTACTTTTTACAAAGCTAATATTTTTCTTTAAATAATTTTACTTTTAATCATTTGAGTAACTCCAATATTTTTCCTTTCCTTCACATCTTTCTTGAAACTTAGAATACATAAAATGAAACTATTCTATCAATATTATTATGGATTGTTAGAGGGTATTATGATTCTTGATGGATTAAAAAAAGGGACTTTTTGATGCATATATTTGATGCATATTATTGCTAGGTAACACATTCTGCCCCCAGGACCTGAGAAGGTCCTAGGTTTTTAGATTATATGTATGTGTTTTGTTGACTTTAAACAAATAGACAGTTGGATAGTTCTCAAGAAAAATGGGTTTATTTAGGAACAATAAAGAATTGCAATTTGGGACATACTGTCCAAAGGTGAATCATGGGCCATTCCAGAGAACAAAAGAATGTTCTTTCATAGAGGCAAGGGAGTGTTCAGAGGGGCTGTTGTAAACAAAAAAAAATCTATCGGAGGAAACTGGGAGTTCATAGTGCAGTAGGTCTTTCACTGGCTGAGTGGTTTCTAGGGAAGAAGATCCTCCTTCTTGCTGGAGTAAAAGAGTAGAAAAGACCTCTTCCTTTTGGAGATGGAGAAAGTACATCTCTTCTCGTTTAGGATAACTGATGATGAGTGGTAGGACGTGAGACTAACACTCACAGGCCATCCAAAGTCCATTTTAAATGAGCTTTCTGTTTATTAATCTCCAGAGTTGTCATCTCTAGAACCTTCCAAAATCTTAATGGGGCAATTGTGATTCTCATATCCTTTGATTTTGCTTTCAGATTACTTTTACATGCTAACTGTCTTTACATGTCTAAATATGAACCACGTGAATAGAGCCTTCTTTTCATTTTTTCTTGAGCATTGGGTTTTCTACAACTACAGATCTTGACCCCTGACATCTTTATGTGCAGAGAAGAATGGTCAAATCAGCAATCATTACTCTTTGGTTTAAGAGGAGGTCAGACAGGACAATGAGATAAAAGTCAAGGTAACAAAAGAATTGAAGGCTGTAGTGGGTCTTCTTCAAAAGTGAGTGAACTTGATTCTTGCTTATTGGGATGTGAGGAATCTGGGGCTATTTCAGGAATGTCAGCAATTTTGCCCTTAGGCCACTTTGTTGTCATGCTCCCCGCCCCTCCCCTAAGCTTGCTTGGCTATAAACTGAAAACATGGAGACCAATTTCATGCTGCCTCTTATGAGAGAGCCACTACTTACTGCTTAAATAAATCTCCTTCTGTTTTTCTCCTTTTCTGGAAGAGAAAACACCCATCCTCCCAACTCCCCTGAGAAGAGCCCCAACTTCTCATTTTCAATAGTGTTTACTCTAGTTGATGCCCTCACTAAAAGGAATGCCTTTGAAACTACTAAACAAAGGCCAGAGGAGGAAAATGAGGGTCTCCGACCACAACTTCCTCAAGTAATAATTCTTTCTGTCTTCCCCAACCCATGCTCAAATCCCAACTGAGATGGGGTTTCCTGTGGCTTTAAGAAAGTCCTTTAAAAGGAGGAGAAAGAAATTATGTATAATTTCTATTGTATCTAGTCACAAAAAAGTAATTGTGTTTCCCACCCTTTTTTAATTTTTTTTTTATTTTAACTGTTATTGTGGCAATTAATATAAATTTGCCACAACAATGACATTTTATACTTTATTCTTCTGGACACAACTAGTTTATTAAGAGGTTTAGACTACTTACCTCCTAGAGAAGCCTATGGGGGTTCTTTGAATAAAACAAATAAACAAACAAACAAAAACCTCTCAAATCCTCCTGTTTCCACATAAGCAAAGATCAAACCAAAAATCCTATTGTCTCTTTTTAAATTGTTTCTGAAACTATAGCTTGAGCAGAGCCATCTTTCGTTCAGATCCTCTCCACATATGTCTGAGGTTTAGGGTCTGTCATCTATTCTACAAGGTTTAGAGATTTGCATGTATTTTATTGTGTTTTCAAAAATTAAGAGGCCAAATTCCCTAAGAGCAATTACTAAGACTTGTTTAAGAGTCCCTCACCTTAGGAAAAGAAATCACTAGCACACTTGTTCAAACAAAACGTGTGCCAGTTTTCTTTATTTTATAATCTTATAAAAATGTTTTACTTACACCATGGGATTCTGAACATGTTTATGAACATTTTCCAAATGTTTTGAAGTCCAGAGTTGGGAGCCCAGTAATTGTCAGTTGATGGATGTGGAGGACCCATTAGAGGACATGACAGCATCACACCGACTTTCCACGTGACCTTGGCATACTTGGCTAATTTTAGAGACCAGTTTTGATTTACGAAGCCTCCCAGATCAATGTTTTTTACATTGAGCTATTTGTACAGCCATCAGCCCGATGGTTTCCAGAGTGTTTCCTCACTTGCTATCTCTCATTCCCCATAATGTCAACAGAGAGCGAGCCATTGGCACAAAGTTTGAGAGACCTAGGATGTTCTATTAAGTCCAATTTTATAGTTAATAGAAATTTATCTAACATACTATCCAATCGACCAATAAAAATTTATTGAGGGCTTCCTAATCGTTCAAAGACTTAATGCTCAGTAAAGCACTGTAAAAAAAAAATTTTTTTTTAAAGCATACTGGGCAGGAGTTACATTTGATGATTTACAAAGTACATCAGAATTCTGCAGTATTTCGGCTCATTTTAGTGAAGGTCCCTTTATTATCCCCATTCTTAGCATAGACTGTGGAAACACTCAGTGCTAGATTTTCCTAGAAGTTAACTCATACATAACTCATTTATGGAGCTCAACATGGCATTCAAAATTGCAGCAGGCCCGCAACAAAGATAATGTGTGCTTATAAAACAGATACATGTGGCAGTAATTATTCAATTTACGAAGCATTCACCTTTAGAATTCCTTTGCATGGCATTTAAAGACTAAAGTAATTTACATATTTTCAAATTACACCTATAATTTTATGAACATACTTGTGGTGCAGAGTCCCCT